ATGAGGCCATGGCTAGACATAAGAAGAATTGTTCTGCTAAAAGGCTTAACACATTGCTGCAGGCCCTTGGTGCCCAACTTGTGGCCCTTTAATTCTTGTAGTGTGCCATTTGGATCCGGGCAGTCAGCATTGATTTGAAAAGAATGCCTCCAGTCTCCAACCACATTTGTAGCATACCCACAGTCTCTGACCATCTCCTGTAGTATGTCCGCAGACAGCATTCTGTAGTATTACATATAGAGAACATTATATGCAGCCCCTTGGTGGTGTGAGGTGCCGCAGTTGAGGTCCCTCATGATTCGTACGTTGACAAAAGGAGCCCACATTGCAGGGATAAACACTTCACTGGTTACACTCATCTCTCACACCAGTAAAAATATTTAGGTATTGTGCTCTTTAGACTTTTATAAGGGCACCTGCTGTGGGATGGAACAGGGTTGAGATAAGGGACTGGAATGGCAGCAGTCTCTTGCAACATGTTTCCAGTCTCCACTGGACCACTGAACTATCTATGCATTTTAAATATTCATGACTAAATTCAGTGCTGCCTTTAACACTTTTCCAAAGCCCAACTTCAACCAAAACTTGTCTTCAGTTTTGGATAAACTTGGAATGAGTATTGTTTTCTGAAGACTCTTTCCTAAGTAGGCTAGACGCGGGGGTGCCCGTCAGCATCTTTCTACCCGCCATCCCTCGATCAGAAGATCAAAGGAGCAGATTGGAAAATTCTCAGGCAAACGGAACTTGCAGCCAATCAAGAAAATATAATTGTGTATACCGAACTTTACAGTCATTATGCTAAAAATCTGCACCTGAATGATCAGTTGTTGTCATCGATAAGGAACAGAACTCCTCCCTTTTCTCCTGACAGAGACAAGAGCAACTTAAAGGAGAACTATGAGGTGAGTGAAAATCACTCAACCTCATAGTTTGAGCCGATGTGTGACAATGAAACTGTCACACGTCGGCTCAATAGACCGGGAAGTGAGCGAACATATACCATCGCTCGCTCACTTCTCAATCATCTCCCTGCAGAGAGGAGAGCAGTGACGGTCAGTCATCACTCCCCGTATGGATTCCCCCCTCCCCGATCCTCCAGCACTGACTGGAGGAACGGACGGGGAGGGGACGGGTACAGCTGGCTCCGCCTCTAGATAGGCAGAGCCAGCTGTCATTCACGCAGCTGGGTGGATCTCGACAGTAATGTTGGGATCCGTCCCGGCTGTGGCGGTCTCAGTATACCGCGAGCTGAAGCTCGCAATATACTGAGCTTTGGAGAACTATATACTGAGCTTAAGAGAACTAATGGGAAAAACACTTACCCCATAGTTCTCTTTTAAGTAGATACATAAAGCCACTAACAGGCATGCAAGTATGTAAGTTTCTCAATAGAAAGCCCAGCATCTCTGCAAACTGTCAAATAATTAAAAAAAGATTAAATTCAATGTAATTAATTTTGATATATAAAGCAATGCATGTATTTCTATTCTGTTTTCTATTTCATTTTGGAGTGTTGCTTTAACCTATTTTTTATATTGTATCAATATATGGAACAAACACATAGTTTTCTCTCTCTCTGCCTCTCCATACGTATATATAAATAATTTAAATAAAGTTTTAAAAAAAAGGGATCAAAGCCCTGTCCTTGAAGACCTGGGTTAGATCCACGTCATTGCCGTTCCTAAAAAGAATCAATAGGATTCTTCTTGAAATTGTTAATTTTAATGCGACTGCACTGGAAATGCTCTAATATCTGTTATACAGAAAAAACTGCTAAGCTACGAGGACAGATAACGTAAGCAAGTAATATACGCAGACAAGCATTTGAAAGGGGGGAATTAAAGATGGTAATCTCCAAACTAGGCCTCAACATTATTTTAGGCAGGAAATTGCAGCATAAATAACGTCTCTTCTACCGAGATGAAGACTCGCAGATATCCGTCTGTTGCAAAAGTAGAACAAAGGGATTTTTTGGAAAAGGATTTATAACTCAATTATTACCTTTCACAGTGATGTCCAAAATGTGTTTAATTTCATAGTGCTGGTTAATGGGGAAGGCAGCCATTGTCTTCACACCAATATAAATGAATGTGTTTTTTTCTTTTTGTTTACCCCAAAAAATTAACTTATTACCCCACATAGTTTCGGGGTTTCTGGGACCTTTGAGATGGTGTATGAAGGTCCATGTAGGTGCCTGAGGGTCCTCTTATTTTATTTCTGACAATTTGTGGACTTATGGGGAATGAAAGGTTAGTCTAGCTCTAAAAAAACTTTTGTTTTGTTTGGACTGGAGCACGGAAAGGTTAGAACCCCTGTAAGATTTCGAATACTGTCTCATTGGATAGATTCAGCAATTATTTGTTCTGGTTACAACTGTCATTGGGATAGAAGGCGGATGGGAAATCCAAACAGGACAAGACAGAAGGAAAAGAGAAATTCCCCAATAATGACACCTGTTCCAGTGACAACTGTCCTTGAGAGGATTAACTCTCACTTTGTGTTGCGTCTTTGGGATAGGAAGTGAAAGAAAAACTTTCCAATGAGGCCAAACAGCACAGCCCCACAGCATGCACGTCAGTGCAGAAACCTGTGCCCGGGAGGATCAGCTGCTGCATGTAGCCGAGTCAAGCACTGTTCAACTCAATGACCGGATGCGGCTGCATGCGGCTTCACACCGACCCAAACTTGCACACCCGTACAGGTATGGATGCCTACCTTTGGATGCAGAATGTCTTAGGGCTCCGGAGCTGTCCAATAAAAATGAGCACATGAGCAGGGCAATATGGTGTTGTTGCAAAAAGCAACCAGATGATGCATGCAGGTCATTTTACCAGTGAGAGTTCATGAATAAACCAGCTTACCACTACTAACCTCCGGGCCCGATCCCCAGTTTTCATAAAACAGACCCTTGGTGCTATAAAGCAGAATTCAGATCACACAGTGTGCAAGTATTTCTTGTACCTTGCCAAGAACTGCAATACCTGGAAGAAATAAACTTTGATGGCAGACAGCAGAAGTCAATCGTTTACTTACTTTCCTGCAGCGTAAACTTCAGCTGTATCAAAAAGGTTAATTCCATTGTCGTAAGCCAGCGTCATCAATTGCTCTGCCATCTGCAGAAATCAACAGAAACAGTTCATTAGCATAGAGGAAAGTTAAACTATATGTCATAAATGATAGCACAGCAACTATAGCTGTTGACAAAGTGCAGTCATAGCCCAAATCAATCTACCACAAGGGTGGGCAACTCCGGCCCTCCAGCTGTTGTGGAACTACAAGTCTCATGAGGCATTGCAAGACAGCTGCAGACATAACTCCCAGGGGCAGATGCATGATGGGATTTGCAGTATTTCCACAGCTGGAGGGTTGAAGCTGCCCACCCCGATCTACCAGAGCAGATTGTCTGTAATTGGCTACTGTACTTTGCGGTGTATTTATAAACATTTTGCAGATGCCATTCAACCTGCACAACTGCATGTACATTTGTTCTGTGCGAATGGAGCCAAAAATGAATGTTAGTATATTTTCTTTCTAGATCGAATGTAATTTCAGGTAAATACCACATTATGGCCACTAGATGGCACTGAGGGGCATAGGAAAGAAGAATGTGGTATTTACCTGAAGTTACATTCGAGCTGAAAAGTCAATATACTAACATCCATTTTTGCCTCCATTCGCATTGAACAAATATATGTGCAATTTTTTGCGGGGCAAAAATGTATAAAGTGGCACAAGCTGCACCTCCTTTTAAAAACTAGAAACCCCTTATCTAAGGTCCCTACCAGACTCATATTCACCCAAGGTACAGTCCCGGAGATAACCAATGAACCTAAGAGGCCACTTTTTTGTACAGTGGGAGAAAATGGGTGTAGCTAGAGGAAACACAGGGAGAACAATCAAACCGCATGCAGACTTTTTACTGGTGGTATTTTTAACCTAGAACTAGGAACCGGCAGACGGCTGGTGGATATAAATGCACCTCAAAAGTTTCTATTCCAATTGCTCATGGATAGTGACAGCCTCTATATTCTATATCAGTACAAGTTTCCTATTATAGAGGTTGCCACCTATTAATATTATAATACAGGATATACATAGTGCCCACAGCCTGCGCAGTGCTTTACAATATAAGCTTATGACCTCCGCTACTCATAATGCTATGTTCATGGCTGCAATGCTGATCCAGTGGCTTTAAATATTCCTTGAGGCAGCGACACGGAATGAAAATGCAGGCCAAGAGTTCTGGCCTCATTCAGATTTTCTCATTTGCATTCATGTTCCAGGGCAGTGACTCTGAACACGTTGAAGCCAGACGTAAAATAACCAGTTTTCTTAGAAGTCTGTCGGCAAGGTTTCCTTTAATGCAAACAGCAGTGTGAAGTAACCAATCAGAAAGAACTCTTCGTACTTTGGACTTGGGTTACTGCACCTCGCCACGGCTCTTTACACCAATTTATTAAACAAGTCCCGATGTCACATGGAAGTAACCAAGTCACTAAACGCAGCTCCAGTTTGTATTTAATTTAGAACACCTGAACCGGTGAAAAACAAGGAGAACCATTGAAATGTGAAATATGTCGATGTAGCAGAACAGGAGTCTGATAAACAAAAAAAATGACCTCCGCACGGCAGAAGAAAACAAGTGCTGCAGGAGGCTGAGGAATACACACAGGACTCAAGGAAACAATCTGCTCCTGAGAGCTTACAATCTAAAATGCGGGAGCAAGTGATATAAAAAGGTAGCAACTGTGAGGGGATGAGTTGATTGAGAAAATAATAGTTTAGTTGTTCGTAAAGGTGGATCAAGTTTCCCTGAAGATTTCTCAAGGGTCACCTAAAGGCAGTCGGCGTAGGAGAGAGGCGGACAGGTTGGGGTAGGGAGTTCTAAAGGATAAGGAGGCTCTGGAGAAGTCCTGGAGGTGACCATGGGAGGAGTTAACGAGGGAGTGAGTGAGCAGCAGATCTTGGGAGGAGCAGGGGGGAACAGTTGGGGTACTATTTTGAGATGAGTTTTGTGATGTACCCGGGGGCAGAGTTGTGGATGGCTTTCCATATTGTTGTTAGTATTTTGGATTTTATTTGCTAGGTGGGATAGGTGGAGAGGGGCATGGGATGGAAGCCAGTGGAGGGACCGGTAGAAAAGGCCGTGGGACGGAAGCCAGTGGAGGGATTGGCAGAGACAGGAATGGGATGCAAGCCAGTGGAGGAATTGGAAGAGAGGGATAGGGGATGGATGCCAATGTGGGGATTGGAAGAGAAGGGCACAGGATAGAAGCCGTTGAAGGTATTGGCAGAGATAGGCACAAGATGGAATCCAGTGAAGAGATTGGCAGAGAGGGGCTTTGATGGAAGCTGGTGGAGGGATTGGCAGAGATGGGCATGGGATTGAAGCCATTAGAGGGATTGGCATGGGATTGAAGCCATTAGAGGGATTGGCAGAGAGAGGCATGGGATTGAAGCCAGTGGAGGGATTGACAGACAGGGGCATGGGATGGAAGCCAGTGGAGGGATTGGCAGAATTGAAGGTGAGACGGAAGCCAGTGGAGGGACCGATAGAAAATGGCGTTGGATGGAAGTCAGTGGAGAGATTGGCAAAGACGGGAATGGGATGGAAGCCAGTGGAGGGACTGGAAGAAAGGGATAGGGGATGGATGCAAGTGGAGGGATTGGCAGAGCGGGGCAAGGGATAGGAGCTGGTGGAGGGATTGGCAGAGAGGGGCTTTGATGGAAGCTGGTGAAGGGAATGGCAGAGAGAGGCATGGGACTGAAGCCAGTGGAGGGATTGGCAGAGAGGAATGTGGGATGAAAGCCAGTGGGGGGAACGGACGAGAGAGACATCAGATGGAAGCCAATGAATTGGCAGAGAGGCCCAACAGAGGTTCTAACTAGCTCTAAAAGTACAAACAAACAAAAAGACTCTGACGATGGGCATCCCAATGGTCAAACGACTCTGTACTGCACAACTGCACATAAATGGAGAGGTAAGACCACATCAACCGCATATTTACAAGACATGGAAGATGGTGTTCCCAGGCTGTAGGGGGATTTCCATAGGGGGGGGGGGGGGCGTCAGGCTATAGAAATACCTGTATAGAAAGGAGATTTCCGGGATAAGCAGGCCATTTCCCCTCTGTAAATTTCTATTGCCTGATTTTCAATTAGGAATGCAGAGTACCGATAATGTCTCCTTTGATGCATGCAGAGCGCTCATACACGCACGCGGGTAATGTGATAAAGGCCCTAGCGGATAATTTGAATGCTTTCTCTCAGTAAACTGATCTCCCATGTAAGATGAAACCGGCTCATCGTAATTTTCAATCGCTTCGGATGAGTGATCTGGATGTTTGTTATTGAGAATACATTTTGTCCTAGTTATGTAATCCAGTTGTCGCAGAATTAAATTCTGCTGTAATCTTGCAAAATCATCCCGACTTTGTGCTGAGCACAATGCCCCAAACCGCTGCCAGGACACAATATACACCACGCCGCAGGCTGACAATAGGCTTAAAGGGTATTTCCACTTTGTCGCCAAACTGGGATAACACCTACTATATATTTATTCCATGTTCCTATTTACATTGTAGAACTTAAATATTTAAAAATAGCTCTTTTCTGTAAACTTCAAAGTTGAAGGGGGCTGGGGAGTTCATGTTTACCATAATTAACCCTATCTGTACTGTGCTGGCAGATCTCATCATTAGTCTGTACGATTAAGCCCATATAAGTGAAACACACCAGAGGAGTGATGTCTAGGCATGGACGGCACCGTGCGCTTGTGTAATAAAGTTGATTCGGAGTGATGTTACCGGCAGTGCGACCTTCTGTCTGTATGACTTATCTATGGAGTGGAGGAGGGCTCATATGGTCAACACCCAGTATACCCACCCTGTGTATATCTGGGACTGAGAGTTTCTGGAGCATAGCCCGTCCGACATACTCATAATTAGTTTTAAACTTGATGTCCAGGACTACACATCCTGGTTCCAATGACGCGTTTCATCCACTATATATGACTATGCCCTGATAGGAGGGGTGAAACATGCCAAGGAATTGGTAGACATAGTGGGTGGATGTAGAATGCTCTCTCTGCTTGCTTTGTATAAGTAAATACAAACAATACTGTGTGTGAAGTTTTGTACTGTAAAGTGTGCTGGGAATCAGTACAATGCGTTGCGGGCAGACAACATTTCTCAGGGTATTATGGCCTAGGTTATGCATTAGCTATTGCAAAGAGAACAAGTAAGGTGTCTGATTTAATCTTGTGAAATAACCCAATTTCCTTTAAGCCTTTTAATATTTATTTATTTTGGAGTGAAGCAAAATTATGATAAGCTGCAGACTAATAATTCCCTGTGCGTAACTGCCAATCTACAGCAGTTGGAACACATGCAGAAACAAGGTAATTCTTGCCATGTGTCATGTGATCTCCCATCACCAACACTGAAATGGCTTACTCTGATTTCATTACACACTGTGAGCTTCTCACAATATGCATTAGATTAGATATGCAAATCAGATAGAGCCCGCCTCATGTCCTGGCTGATGTCCAGCATCATCTAGTGCTTTGTTTCCTAGCTCAAATGTCCCTGGCCCCGCCCCCCCTTCCAGCAATTAGATTTCAGTTCTTCCAATCATGGAGGATCAGCATCACATGTGGGTGTTACCTAGGGTGGTCGGCATGCAAAAGCAGTCTGCGTAGGAACCCCCATTCCTCCTGACTGACATTTACCCACCAAGGCTTTTTGATATTTGCATGATTCCTCCCAAGATCCAACCCACTGCTTCCATCAGGGTTGAGGGCTCTTGGGCACACCCAGCATGTACAGCACCCTGCCGGTCCCTCCCACCAGCCATGATGTGCCTGCATTGCACACAGAAACAAAGAGACCCAGTGATACAATCACTGGGTCGAAAATAAAATTTGTAATGAAAACAGAAAGTTTTATTCAATCCTTTTACGTTGTCTGTATGTATATATATCGCAGCACGGAAGTGGGCTTTAAATACAGAGATGTCACATATACTGTAGGCGTACAGCCGACATCCCTTGTTTGTGCTGGAAAAGGGATCCCTCTGTGCCCCCAGCACAGTGACCGTGCTGTCACCGACAGCCCCCGGCCACGGTCTATAATTGGAAGCAGGCTCCAGATCAGGTGATCCCTGTGACAGCTAATCACACAGGTCACATGATCGGGAACACCATGTGATGCTTTTAAGCATTACGAACTTTTAAAGGGCTGGAAAGGGTAAAAACTGTCATTAGCATGTTGATAAAGGGGCAATTAAGTTTGCACTGCTGCCTTTCTTCCTTAATCAGATACAGTGGTACCTCGGTTCACGAACGCTTCTGTTCGCGAACAATTCGGTTCGCGAAAAGGAAGTCCGGCAACATTTTGCTTCCGTTTGCGAACTCTGCATCGGGTGACGAACACAACCGCAGCCATCTTCCCTGCTCTGACACATGGTCGTGGCTTCCTCTAGTCTAAATTGCGGTCTGATCACAGTTTCATTTGGTTTGAGACCAATTTGGTTTGCGACCAGAATCGTGGAACGAATTAAGTTCGTGAACTGAGGTACCACTGTATTCTCTCACTTCCTGTTCAAGTGGCTGGTGTCAGATAAAACAGGAAGAGAAGATAAATGTCCTCTATGGTGATACAGGCAGCATTTAAAGACTTACTTGTCAGCAGGGACACAGCTCTAAGAACCCAGCAGAAGTTCTAGCCTTTCCCTGCTTTATCCAAAAGGAAAAAAAAAAACCGTTTGGGCTTTAGCACATATGTACATAGACAGACACCCTCAAACTTTGTGTCACTGCTCATCCCTCCCCCTCGCAGCACACCATGTGCAAATCAGCAGTTAGACCAATATGTGAAAAAGCCTCTAAATCGAAGATCAAGTTTAGTCATCTAACTTGCTCAACCAACAGGATATTAGGACATTAGCATCAAAATAAGAGAGCTTTCTAATAAAGAAAGTCTGGATATTATTATTCAGGTCCAGAATGGTGCAGATCAAACTCCAGGTCTGCCCTGCTCTAAGGGAATCCTGCCAGCTGCCTCTGCTGCCGAGCAAGCAAATCCTCCCTTTGTGGGCCTTACTAGAAACAAAACGATCAGCACAAAGCTGCATAAATATTTAAACTGCTAAAGACTCGGCCAAGTGTTCCGCTGTGTGCATGGTCGTATGATTATCTGCCTGGCCCAGCCAGGTTAATGGCTGTACCTTTTACTCCACCCAGAAGACCACATGTTGCCTTTATGTTGGAGGGCCAGAATGACGGGAAACTCTGGGAGCAGTCATCGCTGACCCCAAAATTCAGGATTTCCAGGATCTCAAGGTTTAAAACAAAAACTGTTCCAATGTTTGCCTTTCGAAAAACAAGCAATGGCAGCTCCCATAGTTCCAACCAAACAGGTCTTTTAAGGGACTCTGTCCACTCCGTGTTCCCCCGCCACTCCGTTCCCCTATAGTCCTAACCATGTGTAAGCTCCATATTGGATGGCGTTGGCTCTTACAACCCATGTGTCTCGTTTCTAGGTCTTGGGACTGGCTGCTCAGCCCTGAGCACTCTCTCCTAGGAGCAGGTCACATGCTCTCCCCATACTTAAAAGCACTATTTCACAGCAGCTCAGACGGAGGAGCAGAAGGATGGCGTTGTGTAGTAAAGGCGAGTATAAGTCAGTGGGCTTTCAAGAGACTCTGCCCCTTGGCTGAATGGGCAAAATAACAGTCTCTTTAAAAGTGACCTTGATAGTTTATCCTATATTGGGAAGGACTGCGGACTGGACCCCCACTGGATTCTACACTGAGTGGCCAGATTATTATGACCACCTGATGTTTGTAGGCAAATTAGCTATAATTTCACGCTGAAGTTGCTAGAGGGCCAGACCAATACCATTATAAATAGGGAAGCAGGTTGTTTACCACGACAGCAGAAGTGATTTTTTTCTGAAGATACGGGGAAACAACGCGATTTAACAGCCTTTGAACGTGGGATGATTGTTGGCGCTCGGAGCGAGTATCAGCAAAACAGCAGAATTCGTTAAGTGTTCAAGAGCAGCTGTTGTTAAAGTGTTTAAAGACCGGACTGTCAGCCGAAAATCTGGGTCTGAACGTGCGAATTGTGGCCGTCAGCGACTAGTCAATGTTAGGGCAGAACGGAGAGTGGCAAGACTGGTACAAGACAACAGAAGGGCAACAGTGCAGTGTCAGATTCCTCGCATCACCTTTCAACATCTCGTGGAGTCACGAGGCGACCCCAACAAAGTACCGATGGGGTGGGCTCATTTCTCCTTTAGAAATCTGGGAAACCTTAGAGGAAACCATATACTGACAGAAGCATGTCCATGGCCAACCCCTTTGAAAACACTAGTTGCTTAGCCGTCTCTGACTTCAGTTTGAGTCACTGAGCTGGAAAAGGCAAGCAGCCAGTGAAGTCTTATCTACTGATCTGCATACTTGTTGGTATGCTAGGTCAATAATATGCCTGGAACTCCACAGTAAAACCATTCAGAAAATACCAAAGCCAGAGGTGCAGTATGAAAGCCAGGCAGCTAGCACTTTCAGAAGGAAAAGTCAGCAATGAGAGCCACCATATTTCTTATAGTTCAGGTTAACTTTAAGGCTCCCTATGTATTATCTGCAATATAATAAGCAGTCTTCTAATCTCTTCCATTCTTTCTATTCAATTGACCACAACACCAATAAGGACAAAGACAATCCTAAAAACCTGCAGAGGGTTCTAAACTTTCTACAAGCTGTCGAAAATAAGGAAAAGTTTTTGCTGGAGTTTCAGGCTAATCATTGCCTTAGCATGTCAACATAGCTGCCCATTTGCATGTCCATTGGCTGGACCGCTGATTTAAAGCCAACATTTCATAAAATACCAGGAGGTGTCCCTGCTGTACTATGGGGAGAGATGCAATGGGAACCGAGTTGAATTTAATTTTGTCATATCCCGACAATCACAGTGCAACATCAACAGAAAAATGTCCCAGAATCTTCAAAGTCTTGGATTAGACCACCCACCCGCAAGTCCCAAAAAATAGGTCATCCTGATGGAGAGCAGACAGATGTACACAAACACAGGCATGCCGCACGACTTACTTAGCCCAAATTACTTTTCTTAACAGCTGCCACGTATGTGCCAAATGTTATTTATAAACTGGATATACATCTTACCTCATCGGTGATCTGACCTCCAAATGTCACCCATGTTCCTTTAAACACACAGAAAGGATAGAGTCAAGAAGAGCAGAAGGCTTCGGTGAATCCTTGGCATGCCAGACACACCAAGGTCAACTCAAAGACCCTCCTCATCAACAAAGGTACCTTATATACTGTAATATTGTATAGAAAACAACAAGCTCAAACACAAAGACTTACATGTACTGGATGCATTTACAACTTATATGGAAACCCAAACACAACAAATGATTTAATTGTAGGTGGATTGGGGTTAGACCACCAAGCTTGTAAAGTTCTACTATTCTCAGAAGTTTCCTTTTGAGGGTTGACCTGTGTGAAGTTCCTCCATCAATCACCTCCCATTAATCCTTACCCTGTCTCTGCTTGAGTTATGTGTTGGTAACTTCAACTTCAATGGGGAATTTTTCTGATGTGCAGACAACCGCAGGAGCAAAAGGGAAGAAGATTACAGAGGACAGTCAATGGGGTTCTAAGTGGGCCCTGAAGGCAAGCAGCATTTTCCACACCTAACAAAACGGACTGAACAATCTGTGCACATTTTTTTTAACATGATTTTTGGGCACAATCTCTTTTTATTTTATTGTAGTCCTTGAGTGTCATGTTACATCTTCCTTGTGTGTCTGTGGAGGTTCTTATTCATCCAGGTCATGGTATATCTTTAAAAAAAAAAGGTCAAGGCAACTGGACTTGCTGTATTTTTCTTGAAGACGTTTCACTGGTCATCCAACCAGCTTTCTCAATTCAGAATGACTTGTACAAACATTTTCTGGGAATAAATATGGTCAATGTTGCTCCAATCCATAGTCTGCTAGTCACAACCAGGTGTTGATTGCATTTGCATAATTCGAGTCTAGGAGGTGTTATTAACCTGCCCAGAGAGAGGTATTAAAACAGCATTGTATATGTCCAGTGCAGTGAGGAGTGCTCAGAATTGTATGTCGGTGAAACAAAACAGCAGCTACACCAGCGTATGGCACAGCATAGAAGAGCAAAACCCTCTGGTCAGGATTCGGCAGTGTACCTACATCTAAAGGAAAAAGCTCACTCCTTTGAAGACAGTCAAGTACGCATCCTAGACAGGGAGGAGGACTGGTTTAAAAGAGGTGTGAAAGAGGCCATTTATGTAAAAATGGAGAAGCCAAGCTTGAATAGAGGTAGGTGGGTGGGTGGGGGGATGGAAACATCTATTATCTGCCACATACAATGCTGTTTTAACACCTATCTGGTCTTTAAAGAGAACCATTCCTTTGCTCATGAAGGGCAAAGTAAAAGGGTCAGGGCCGGACTGAGGGCCAGACAAACAGGTAAGTTGAAGAGACTGTCTCTCCTTGGGCACTTCAGCAGACAAAGGAACTGCAAAAAGGACAGGACCTGCTACCTATGCTGCTGCAGAAGTTGGCAGCTCAAAGGGATGGGTGCACCTTGGTCTTGGGTGCTAAAGGACCTTAGCCCTGCACTGGGCACATTGCTCCTCCAGAACGGGTAAGGTACACTGAAGTCAGAGCTGTTGTAGGTAAGGTAGATGTAGACGGGTAAGTGTACCAACAGAGGCGTGAAGTAAAAGGTGAGTATAAGCTGCAGGGACAATGACTAAGTTGTGTTTAGGGGCTAGGAAGGTGGGGGCTGGGATGTTTTTGTGAAAAAAAAGAAGAACTTTTTGGTGATATCACTATATTAGTACATATATTATATACTGATACCAGAGCTCCAATGGACTATTATTATGATTTCATGATAAACAAAACGTTTTAATGTGAACCTGTGCTTAGCCCCATTAAGGGGGAAGCAGCAGGTTCACTCATGGCTGGATCCTCTATGCTGCTCTGCTCGGGTACTGGAAGCCATGAGAAATACCCCTTCCTCCCATGTGACAGTCCTGATGCTCAGTGATTGGCCGCTCCGGCACCAGTGCCCTTTTTAAGCTCTGACTATGGTCAACTATAAGTTTACACAGGGCTTCTTCTACTCCCTCCAGGCGGGAAAATGAGCATCGGGTGAGCAAAGAGAAAGCAGATACAAGCAGTTGTAGGGTCCTGCTATAAAGTGGATCTGTTTCATTGCTTTGCATGGTCATAAATGGCACATCATGCATTCAACATATAACTGGTGTCACTTACCTAAGCCAAGGCAGGACACTCTTAGGCCGGACTTTCCCAGGTTTCTGAAAAATAAAGAGCAAAGCGGTTACTGAAACAGTTAAATCAACAAATGCAGTTTAAAGCTGAGCTCCGGGCAAAGCGCTATACATGCAGCTGAAATACACATACGTCAACAGTGTTATCTGCTGAAGGCTTGGTGAATATGCCCAGCTACTTTTGTGACTCGCACAGATGGCACAGCAAGAGGAGTGACACCACTTTTGGTTACAGTTAAGGAATAAAGTGGTCACCCGTCACCCAGAACCTGCTGACTAGACAAGAAAACAATCAGCAACACACTGATAAGTCATTAACTGTGCTCGCTCTATACCAAGAATGTTCCTACGCCCAAGAAACTGATGCTCCAGTGCTAAAACACCCTCTCCTAGTCTCAGCGCTGCTGTGTGGGCATTAAAAGACACATTCAGGTACTTATGCCAGTTCCATGTAAATGCATTTAAACAGTTTTTCTTTCCTTCTTTTTTTTTTAATACATGCCTAAAGTTCAGTTTTCGCTATTTACTTAACATATTCCTAAAAGCCTTAGGAAGAGCAATGACCTACATGCGTAGGATCCAGCTCGAAAGGATCTTATAAATCGAGCCTCCATTAAAGAATAGTCATAAAAAAAACACATTAGGACAACATTTTGGATGTTTGGCTTTGCACTGAGAAAGAGCACCGCTGGAAGGAGCACGCAAAACACATGCAGAGCACACGCACACTCCATGCAAATTGGGAAATGGCAGGATATATACCCTGAGCATCAGGCTGCAAGAGCACAATACCAACCAACAGCTACCTGGGCATTGCAAAATGTAGGCTTGATACCTGGTAATGTTCGACAATTGCCAGCAGTAAAGAACCACTGGCACAGTTGATATATCTTAAGCAAATATACCCAACCTTTCCTTTTCAATTTAAAAGGAGTACGCTGTACTATGTTCAATACCATACTGTACCATAAAGCCTTGTGCATCATGCAGCAGATATCAGAGGGGAGATTCTAACATTTGCCATTCACAATTGTCCTTCCTGCCTATACAACAATATCCCATTTCAGGCTCAAATCGTCCAACTCCCCATACACTGCTAAAAGTCAAACCAGACTTGCTATATCTTACCTACAAATTGATCAATGCCAGCTGTGAGTCACAGAATGAGAACTACAGGTGCCCATAAACAAATGCCCACAAAGGTAGTCAATTTACATCTGGTTATGAAAACCAAATGTTTATGGCAAACCTGACAACCCCCCCAGGTATAGACACAGAAAGTATGGAAATCTGGTCATATGATAACCACATCTGTGTGAACGCCATATGGCCATTCCCATTTACCATGAGCTATTCAGAGGTTTGGCAATGTCAAAATCCAGACCTGGCTATACACAAGTACTGAACAATCAAATCTTGTGAGAGATTAGGCCACTCCCATGTCAAGTCAAAACGGCCTATACAGTACTGTGATAAAATATTTATAAATATTCACAATATCACTATCTGCTCTATAGTCTACTGAGACCTCTTGGCCAGGTACATTACAAGCCTTCAATGCCATCAGGTGAGCTGAAGTTCTGCTTGAAACACGAAGAAGCTAAACCATTAGACTGTATAGTGTTAAAAAGCAACAGTGAGTCCAACGTTTCTCTTATTCTTTACAGCCCCCCACCACAAAATTATCATGAAAATTTGGTTTTCTGCAACACTCATAGCTTAAGTGTTTATTTTACATTATGTGATGATTGTGACACCAATATTGGGCATTGTACGTCTGCTGGTAGTATTTGGTGGAAACTAGGAATTCTGGTCAAATTATCGAACAGAGTCCTCCATATATACTAGAGGGCAGGTAGTGATTTAAGTCATTAAATTAGGCTTTGAGTTAGCATTGATATGGATAATTATACACACAGCACACTGGTATCAAAAAGACAAATCAAAAATAACAAAAACATCAATAACCTCCCTCCCACCCTCCCTCCCAAAGACCCAGTTCCATTTGCTCTAATCCTTTTGGCTATTCTGGGCAACACCTCCACTTTTCCTGCTTAAAAGCGAGGCTGTCTAAGAGGGGTACAAGGTAGTATTTTTGCAACAGACAGATGCTTGATGTTACGTCTATCAATGTATTAACCGGAATCATCAGATTACGCCGCCCAATCCCCTTTTCCTCTCCAAGCTGCCAGAGGTTAAATGAGAAGCAAAGCCTGCTCCTCCGCACTACACATGTTCTTCACAGAGTTTAATTATGTCCTTCAGGCATAAAACATGAGCAGATGTGAAGAGGTCTTCTAGGTTCTCTCTCCGAGTTACATACACTAAAAATCCTGCAGTGTTACTGAGGCAAAAACTACAGCACAGGCAGACGTATGCAACGCTACGATTAAAGCACAGTTCTCGGATTCCCCTCTGATATCAACATGGATTCAGGTAAGAAAGTGAAAAGACAAAAAGATAAGATCACAGCTGGAATGTATAAGTGTAAACTTGTTTGCCAATTTGATGGCCAAGTTTTCTAATCTAGAAATGCCTGTAAGAGAGCACGGCTAAGATTCTGACCTCACTTTTCTTCAGTGCAGTAAAAGAAATGCAGCTTGGTCAAGGACAACCCCCAGCCTGTGATTGGATAGTGAAGAAGCCTTGCTCCAATGATGGAGTCAGCCCTGTGCCATATCATTTACTAGCTAGCTCCCAGTGCACTATCATGAACCTGATTGGTTAGCTGCCCACACTCCCAGTGTACATCATGCTGCACCGGGAACAGTAGGAAGCTCATATAAAGACAGAAACAGGTACTGTACTGCTTAAAAAAAAAAAGGAGAGAAGAACGTTTGTTGTACAGATAAAAATGGGGGTATTCTATATCTGCCCCAATGTAAACATCCACATTGTGTAATAAATTCCCACTCATCTGTCAATGGACTAAAAAGAGATACTACAAAGTGTAGTTAAGATGGTTGCGTTACAACTGGACCGTGAAATCTACAGAGCTTAGGGTGAACCTTTTGGAAATCTGAATTAGTTCAAGGTTACATAAGATCCAAAGTATTCAATTACAACTGGTGAACCCCGTTATTAAATGCTGATGGGACAATCTGGAGATGTGTTATATTAGATTTGAACAGATTGTAACGTGTGTGGTGTCCATGCTCAACTTAAAGTCAAACGGTTTTAAAGCTATATAAAATGCTGATGGAATCACTTACAATGGATGCTGCTCGTTTATGTTAAAAGTTTAAATTTCCTGCAGAATCAGCTGGACCCCTAAGTTCTGGCCCTGATATCCTGTTTTAGGGCCCAGTCACACCATATCCGGTGCGTTCTGCCATGGGTCGAGGCCTGAACGCACTGGATCACATAAATTAATCCGGGCCACACTCTGGAGTGCGATTAAGGGCCCCCTTCAGCCCCAGAAAGCGTCTCAGCTTCATTTTTGTGATCCGGTGCGTTCCGGCCTCGAACTGTGCCGGAACACACAGGATATGGTGCGATCTGGCCCTTAGGGTGGTGCCTTTCACTTGCAGGGTCTTGTGTAGCCACCCTTGCTCATCAGCTCTACTTAGTGGCCAAAATGCAGAATTACATTACATACATTCCACCTGAAAATAAATTGTATCTAAAAGCGTTCCTTTTTTGCGGCTATTTGCGCAAAATGAACTTTCAGAAAGATTTGTAGGGCGAATGGCACTGCAAATTGGTTAAAAATAGATCCCGATAAGTCGATTTATCCACTTTGGTATCAGGTTCAATAAAGTCCAGTTCATTCGATCTTCATACCTTCAAAAAGGTATGGCAACCCCTCGTTAAGAATGGCGGGCCTCGGATAATAAGACAAGAAGTCACCTATGTAAAGCAAAATACCTTTACCCATTATAATATATTATGCCACTTATATGTACATGGCATAGTATTACCAGACCACCTGTATCCATATCTGAATTGCCTGGAGAGGGACAGTGCTCTGGCAATGGGTCAAGTCTAGGTGTAGTTGAGGAGATAAGGGTGGGGATTTCTTATTAGGGGCAGGACTTTAGGTGCCCACTCTGCTTACAAGTACAGCAATGCTCAATGAATATAACAGCCTAAAATTTATGAACATATACAGTAATAACTAATGATCCCCCCCAGTACTACGGTGACCTAATATATGATAATGTATTCGCTGGAAAATTACCCGAATCTATCTTCAGGACACTTCAGTATTAAACGTACCTGTGTGATCCAGGAGGAATTGGCACTCACTTCTTCAAAAGATATAGTATATAGCATGATAAATAGTCCAGACAGCTGTGACTGGTTGGGATGAATATTTTATCCGAAATGTCTCCGATATAAATATTCACGTTTGTCAAACCTCAAATCCTGATATTGTCTGAATTATTACAGAAAGGAAGGAAAAATGCCATTGGTGGATATCATCTGCATAGAGTATGAATGGGCATGGGTTTCCACTGCCGGTGATGCTTTACACCCATAACCCAAAAACACACTGGTAGGTTAATTGGCCTCCAGCTAAAATGGCTCTGCTTTGTTTAGGACTGTGGCAGGAACATTAGGCCATCAGCTGGTTCCAGGACCAGTGTCTGTGTTGGAGCTAAAGAGATAAGTAAAATAAATCTCTATACAGATAGGATTGTCCATAATCTCCCCATAGGGAATATGAGGAGCACAGTTAACCAAATGTACTGGGTTAGGACTTATATGGACACCATCTTTTATGGAAATACTCAGCATTTTACACATCACTTTTCTGCACAACATGAAAAAAGTGAGCACACGGCTGGCTACTACTACTTGTTCTGAAAATGAGCCTTTTTTTAGGGGTATTACCAAGTGTGAATGTTCATGCAGGCCAAAGGTTTATTGCATCATGGACATTCATGGACTGGATTATTGTCTCAGTAGAGTACACATGTGCAAACACTGTATGTTCTCCACAACTATTTTGCTAAAGTGGAGCACCAGACCCCTTTCTGGTTTTTGGATATAATGGTCAAGGGTTAGAATATATATATATAAAT